AAGCCTAGCAAGAGATTTAACTCCAACCAAACAAACCAAAAGAAAGGAAAAATCAAACAAAAGACACAGCATTAGAAAATTCCAGCCAGTCGAGGTGGGCCAACTGGGCAAGCTTGTTCTCCGGGATTAAGGACTTTTGAAAAACCCACAGGTTCCTCGACTTCCAAAGCCACCAAAGTATGTACGTTGAGAGCTGGATTCTGGCTTCAACAACTTCAAAGTTGTCGAAAGAACAAATAGAATACCACCAAGTTTTAAAAGAATCTGTGCAGTTGAGCAAACCATCCCAATTCAGAGGGCTTAATTTCCAAACTGAGATTGCTCTACTGCAATTAAAGAAGATGTGCTCCACTGTTTCAGCTTTTTCCCCACAAATGGAGCAAATGGTGTCAATATCCACTCCTCTCTTTTTCAGATGAATAGCCACTGAGAGAGTGCCTACAATGCATTTCCATAAAAAATGTTTGATCTTTCCAGTAGTTTTCACCTTCCATAACCTCAGCCTGACAGCTTTCTTAATGTCCATATTATTACTACACTCAGGTAAGTCTGCATTCTGAATCTTAATTTTGCTGAGATGTTTATAGGTAACAGAAACAGAAAATTGTCTTTTATGATCTAAGCCCCAAAAGAATCTGTCAGCTCTCTGAGGATGAAGAGAAGAAATATTAAGAATAGCTTCACTGTCAGGGACATTGAAAACCTGCTGTATTAGCCATTTATTCTAGTGAAAGCCATCACTGTCCAACAGATCCTTTACCCAAATGAGATGATCCCTAGCGATAGGGATAAGGGTAGGATAAGGCTTATTCAATTTTGGTACCCACTTCAAATCAGTAATTTTAGTACTGGCACCATTTCTAACTTCAATTTTAAGCCACTGAGCAAAAAAAGGCATCAAATTCATCCAACAGTTCCACATCCAAGAACCACCCTGAGTTTTTGAAGCATTGAGCAAAGAGGAATTAGGAAAATACCTGTCCTTAAGGACCTTACTAACAAGTAGCTCAGGATTTGTGGCAACCCTCCATAACTGTTTACAAATCATTGCTTTGTTGAAAAGCTGCAAATCAAGGAACCCCAGACCATTATTTTCTTTGGGAAGAGCAAGAGAGCTCCATTTCTTCCAGTGTATACCCTTAGATTGATCAGAGTTAGAATTCCACCAGAAATGAGCACAGAGCTTAACAATATCAGCAGAAGTAGAAGCAGGTAATAAAAAGCAAGACATAGTGAATGTAGGGAGGGCTTGAATAACTGCCTTTAATAGCACCTCCTTCCCTGCAGTGCTGAGAAATTTAGTTTTCCAGCTGGTAAGCTTATTCCTCACAGAGTTTAATAAATACTCAAAAACTTCCCTCTTTGATTTACCAATTCCCAATGGAAGTCCAAGATATCTGGTAGATTTGTGAGTTGATATTCCATTAAGAGCTCTACAGATAGCAGCTTGAACATTCTGAGGTGTATTCTTGCTAAAGAAAACAGCAGAATTCTGGAGATTCACAGCCTGACCTGTAAATAGCCTATACTGCTCCAATAAATTCATGAGTATACCAGCTTGAGCAATATCAGCCTTACAGAAAAAAAGGGAGTCATCAGCAAATAAGAGATGAGAGAGAGAAGGACCATTTCTAGACAGCTTCATCCCTTTCAGCTAGCCACTATTAACAGAATTTAGGATGAGGGCAGTGAGTAATTCAGCCACAATTATGAACAAATAGGGGGACAAAGGGTCCCCCTGTCTAATCTCACGAGAAGGAATGGCATAGCCATTAGTAGAACCATTCAGCTTGAAAGTGAAGGAGGTTGTAGAGATGCAGGCTAAGATGAGCTTGACAAAATCAAAATGGAAACCCATTTGGAGCATGATCTTCTTCAAACATGACCATTCAACACGGTCAAAAGCTTTAACCAAGTCTAATTTCATTGCCATGAAAAAATTAGGACCTGAAGAGTGCCTATTAAGGAAATGAAAAGCCTCCTGAGCTATGATTACATTATCAGTAAGCAGCCTGCCCTCAACAAATGCAGATTGATAATCATTAATGCAAGAAGAGAGACACCCTTTTAATCTTTGAGCCAATATCTTTGAAATGATTTTGTAGACAACACTGCAGAGACTAATAGGTCTATACTGACTTAAGGAATCTGGGCTGTCACATTTAGGAATTAGAGACACCACTGTATGATTCCAATATTTAAGGAGCATACCTGAATGGAAGAAACTCATCACAGCACTCAGAACATCAGGCTTAATGAGCTCCCAAAAGTGTTAATAAAATCTGGCAGTCATGCCATCCTCTCCAGGTGACTTATCAGGATTAAGACTGAATAAAGCCGATTTTACTTCCTCTTCCTCCACTTGTTTCAGTAGTGTTTGGTTCATGTCCTCAGTGATGCAGGGTGAAATAAGTGGAGTCAAGGAGTCACCTCCCCAGCTTCCTTCTGAAGAAAATAAAGTTCTATAGAAATCTGAGATGTGCTTGCCAATGGCTTCCTGAGAAGTCAGCACACAGCCTTGAGCAGTGACCAGCCTTGTTATAGCATTAAGTTTCCTCCTTTGAAGGGTATAGGCATGAAAAAAACGGGTATTTGCATCCCCTTTCTTCAACCATTTATGTTTTGCTTTCTGCTGCCAATAAATTTCTTCATGGGAATGTGCCTTGTTCAGCTCCTTCTTATGTTGATCCAATCATCCCATCCATCCCCATCTTTGTCTGAGTTTAAAGCTTCAAATTTATGAGTAAGCTCTGCCAAATGTTTCTGATGCTGGGTTTGGAATGATGAGCTCCAGATCAATAATGCCAACCTTGTCATTTTGACTTTTTCCTTTAGCTGGAAGAAAGGAGTGCCTTCCACTGGTGTAAGCCAAGCATTTTCCACAACTTCTTTGAAACCTTCCCTGATGAGCCATCTTTTATCAAAATGGAAGGATGAATGTCTTTTTTGCCTTGGCCTTCCCATATCAAGAAGCAAAACAGAGTGGTCAGATGAACTCCTGATAATATTGTGGACCACAGCATTAGGGACAAGCTGAGTCCAACCCAAAGAACCAAAAGCTCTGTCAAGCTTTTCTTCCACCAAGTCAGGAGCAGGCCTGTTGTTGCAACATGTGAATGGATAGCCCTCAAATTTAATTTCTGAAACTTCAATGGCATTGATAAAGCTTTGAAATCCATGGCAACTGTGGGCCTTTCTAGTGATGCCTCATGTCTTATCAGTAATAGCAAGCAAATCGTTCCAATCACCAAGAGCAAACCAGATGTGACCCCATAACTGTTTCTCAGCAATCAAGCTTTCCCATTGACTCTCTCTAATCTGCTTACAAGGGCTTAAGTAGACAAAAACTCCCTATTGGGAAATATCAGTGTTAATTTGGAAATTGACAGCAATATAGAAGTCCTTAAAAAGGATATCAATAACCTTCACATTAGAATTCCAACACAGAACCAGACCACCACTAAGGCCAACAGGATCAACTACACACACTCTACTATCAAAACCTAACTTATTACAAACAGACTTAACAAAAGCATTTTGTTTTTTTGTTTCAGATAAAAAAACAAAATTTGGGTGATGAGCTCTCAGTAGCTCTCTGGTTTGGGAAATTGTAGAGGGCCCACCCAGCCCTCTACAATTCCACACCATAGCTAACATTGATCATGTGGGTGCCACTCCAGGCTGGCAACCTCCACCATTTTATCTTTAGCTTTGAGTTTTTTAGAGAGAACCTGACTCTGTTTATCAACATCTGTTTCAACTTCTTCTGAGATGGTATCTTCTCTAGTCCTCTTACCCACCAAGAGTTGATTAGCAATTATTGGTGGCTCATGAGCTCTCTGCAGTCTGCCTTTGTTGCAACCCACCCTTTTCCAAGTTTTCAGTACTGAAGTGAGAGGGTCTTTCTGTTGTGATTGCAGGATGTTGGGGCTACGGATTGCATCCTCCTTTTCAATCTCCATTCCATGGGACTCCACTATCTGAAGATTGTTTTCCACAATGACTTCCTCAGCATTTATTAATTGAATGGCTGACACCTGAGATGGAGCAGCTGCTGACTTAGCCGGGGAAGGAGTGTCCCTTTGCCTTTGAATTAACATATTACTGTTCGAGGGAAGGCTAGATGAGAGATCTTGACCAGTAGTATTCTCAGCCATTGAGGGGGATTCCCTAGGGGGAGAAGACCTAGGGCCTGAGAAATTTCCCGGAGACCACCGTTGGCCCTCAGGAGCCTTCAACCAGTCGCCATACTGACCTTCTTTCATAGAGTTGTTAGCCACATCCTCCATTTTCCTAGCACAAGATCGATCCAAATGTCCTACCATACCACAATAGTGGCATAGATTTAAGAGCTTTTATATTATATTTTATTATAGATTTGTTACTAAGATAAGGATATATTGTTTCCTTTCAATCTTTAGGATTTATTTTTTTTTTTTTCCAAAAAATTGCAAAATACAATTAGGCAATTTTTTTTTTTTTTGAAATTTAAAATTTCAATAAAACAAATTCCATGATTTGTGGTAGCATTAAATGCTGCTTGATTTTTTTATTACAAAAATAATAAAAAAATCCAAAATGGAATGTAATTAATATTTCTAGAATTTTTCGTTTACTATTTTTAGTAAAGAATAATTCTTATTATATAGATATAGATATAGATATGAATATAGATCTAGATTCTCGCATGGCTCACTCCTAATTAAAATTTACACAAACCCTTTTAACATACAGAAATCTTACGTTTGTAGGCAAGAAAAAAAGTCAACCTTGACGAAGAAAGACAAAAACATGCAACGAACCCAAAACAGAATAAAAGGTGACTGTGGAATCTGGAAAACAAGAAGCTCAAGAAATGACCAAAGGATCGCTTTTCCCCTTCAGGAAAGTTTGCGTGCATGCATGCACAAAAATATATACATTCTATATGTCAATATATCCTTCTAAATTTTGAATTTTCTTGTGAGAAACTCATATTGGGATATCGAAGAAAACTTCAAATGGACGAGGAGGAACGGATAAAACGGACGAGGAGAACAATGTTGGACCAACTCGAAGAGGTATCTCTAACATTAATTTCCCTTATATGTCAACGTTAAAAATATTGGATTTGATTTGTTATTATATATATGTTTAGGAGAGAACTTTTCCCCGCGTGCTCGAAACTATTGAAAGTGAGAGCGATGAGGCTGTTGGCGCCACCACTTCTGATGAATCTGATGAAGAGTTGGAGTGCAGTAGTGATCATGAAGAATTATTATATGGTGGAGTACAATGTGCGTTCGTATTATTATACAGTCTAAATAGTTTTTTTGTGCTTCAAATTGATTTCCGTCGACTCTAATTTTGATCTCATGTTTGTTCCGAATACTTGTGCCATTGCAGTTGGAGTAGAGTTGTCGGAGGATGATGAGTACGATGATTTCAACTTTTATCAGGTCAAAAAAAAAAAAAAAAAAAAACACTTAGGTATTTTACACAATTGCTTTCCATGAAGGAGAAGTTCACTAAAGATTACAATTTTTATCAGGATATGGAAGAAGATGAAGTTGATCCGGATGAATTATCGTACGAGGTAATTATAAATCGATCAAAAGCACATTCAGTTTTATGTTGTTTTAATCTTTTCAGGAATAAAATAAATAAAATAAAAATCTGCATATTATAATATGATTATGACAATTATTAGGAGAATCATAAATTAATGTTAATGCATATTATTGATAAAAGGAGCTGCTTGCTCTTGGGGAGATGGTTGGAGTGGAGAACACAGGATTACCAGAAGCTGAAATCACTAAACATTTGCATAATCCACTTACATGCCACTCTACCTCCAATTTGCTTATTGACAGGTCATCATCAATTAATATTTATTAATTTTCTTTTTTCTATTTATTTATTTGAAGAGTTTTGAAAAAAAAAAAAAAAAAATTGCTTAGGGCTCTGCTTTATGTGTGTATTTGTACATATTATTAATTACATTGCTAACTTCAATTTGAATATTATATATAGGTGTGTGATATGTCAAGTTGAGTATGAAAAAGGGGAAGAAGAACTAGCTGGCCTACAATGTGAGCATCTATACCACAAGGATTGTATAGTCAAGTGGCTTCAAATTAAAAAGGTATTATCATTAATAATAACATTGACCTTACATTTCTCCTTCATAAATCCCATAATTCAGTTGGTCTTGTGTTAGATTCGCCTAACTATAAGGTCGGCAAACTCTTTTTACGAATATTCATACTTCTATTAAAAAATGTCATTATAAAAAAGCAGAACGAAGCGAACTTTGATATTTGATAGTATAAGTATATATTTTTGTTCTAAAAGTATGACGAGTTAACCCGTCTAACGGTTAGGAAGAATTTGTGCTCATTGTAATTCTTACACTTCTTTGGATGTTGTTATTATATACATATATATCGCTAATAGCGTCTTTGCAGGTTTGCCCAATATGCAACAATGAGGTCTCAAGTTCAAGATATCCATCAGGGGTTAGCAATGTACCCAAATGAATGTAACTTAATTAGCAGATGTACTAAAGTACTACTACAATGCATATATATACATAGAAGCAAATCAAATATGTTTTTCCGTTAGTATACTTTGGTTCATAATGGAACGAACTTTTATTTATAGAAAAATGCTAAAGTACCATAACGGAACCGTTTCTCTTAATAAAATTCAAATAAAAAAGTGTTACCTACGCATTCCATGACTACATCTAAGAGTTCATATGAAATTAAAAGATCCAATTGCTTACACTGGAATGGAGAAACCATTCCCCCACGGGACTGTAGTTGGTCCCTTTGTGTGAGTGTGTGTGTGTTAAAAATTTGTCTAGTTATTATTCGTTAATGTGCGAATATATAAAAAAACTGGCTTAATAAAGAAATATAATGAAGAAAACATGAAAGAAAAACAAAGTCTGGGTACATAAAAGTTATGCTTTCCTTAATCTAATTTGCTCTAAATAAATACATACGGTAATAGCAAACGTCTTCTAAACTACAACGACTTACAAATTGTGTAAAGTGGTGTTACAAATACCACATGTCTTCAACAAACAATACTACGTTTGTAAATATCCATAAAAAAGGCTTATTAAAAAACTAAGGAAAGTCTATCAAAAGAAACAAAGTTGAGGCGCGTTTAAATACGTTCTCCTAAAAAAATTAGTCCCGTAAATTACTAACTTTTAAGGCTAACGCCTCTGAGATACGACTTTCGTATTGTGTATAGGAGTAACACAAAATACACAAGCCTTGAGTGAATGCTATTATTACTTCGCGACTCTGAAAAATGAAACGAACACAAAATGAAGTATGAACCTTGTGAAAATAATGCAATTAGAGCTCTTAAAATTCACGCGAATTATATTCTAAATTTTTTAAATTACATATCTCAAAAGTTGGTTGGAACTAAAAATAGATATCGATAATGAGTCTATCACACCAGCGATGACTGAGCCCATCATTTTAAGGACATCGCATACGCTTTTCTATCTTAAGGACTAAGAAAGGTTCAATCAAGCAGAAACAGGAAAATTTTGGACAGAGCTTCTTTATCTGGTCCAAAACCTATGTTCCAATTTCCAACTGTAAGGGAGAGAGGCTTCTGATTTCAAAGAAAATAAAAGAACAAAGTGGAGATTTGTAATTCTGCAGCAAACAATTCAAAGGTACACAAATCAAAATTAGCATACAAAATCTTACAGGAAAAAGATCGTAGGACTTCTTTCGCCATTTCACTTCGCCTTGCGTTGCTCCAGTCGAACCCCACCCATGGAGATACTACGCTATATTCGATTCAAGGTTTTTGCTTATCATGCTCTTTTTTTACTAAATTTTGCGTGTGAACAGATTTGGCTGATATTTAAGTTTCTTGGCGTTGCAGCTGATGTAGGCACTGAAGCCATACAAGTGAGTTTATGCAGTATTACAGCACATCGTCCTTCGACTATTTGTTACAGACTAAGCTGCTCCTCCTTCTCTCTCTGTGACCAAAACCCTAATTCAATAAGGACTGAGGGGACTGTGTTGTTTCTGTACGGTTCCTTAACTTCGGATTTGAGTGTTATAAAACAAACAACATTTTAGAGACGATTGCTAGAGGATGAGCAGTGCGCAATTGGTGGGAAAACGTGAGTACCGAGGCTTTGAGAGGACAGGTGAAGGAGCAAAATATACACTGAGGTTTGACGGGCTGAGGTTCATAGACATTGAGCACAGCCCACAGACGAGTTGTCAACACTCAACAATGACTCACATATTATTAGTTAGAATTTGTTCAACCGATTGTGGATTGTTTGTAGTAGTGTCATTGCTCTCTCTCTGAATGTTGGTTTCTCTTCTTGAGTTGTAGCTATAAAAAAAAAAAAAAAAAAATCAATCTTATGATTAATTTGCGCTTTTTGTTTTCTTGCCTCTAATGTCTGCTTATTTTTCAGTCAGTAGAAGGTTTGGATGGAGGAAGGTCACACCCCTGGATTGCAGGCTGTTGTTGCCTCTAAAAAATGGTTGCGGGAGGCTGCATTGGCTACGTGGTGGTTTAAAAAAGCAAGGGCTCAATCACTGTTTTGTTTGGGGCGTGGTGCATCGACAAGTACATATCGGGTCTATGAGGAGGACGGGCATGCCGTGCTGTTTTCTGGTGGCGTTGATGTATTGTAGTCGGGTATCGTGGGTGCCTCTGCTACCGTGCTAGAACCAGGTTGTCACGTTTTGCCGTCGTCAATTTAGGTTTAATGTGCAATACAATTCTCGCACAAATTAACTCTTTCATTTTTAGAGCAGATTTGGGGTCAACAAGAGGGGCGTTCCTTATCATTATAGAGCCGTCAAAGGATAAAAAAATCAAATCAAAAGCGTAATCTTGCTAATATGGCCGTCTGTTGCGGGATATGCGGAAAGGAACGGGTGCTTCTGACCGAAAATGTTGTCGAGATATTAGATAGAGTCGACGGCTAAGGGTAGATCCAATTGTGTTGTCCTATGCGAGTGTTTATGTATTGTATATATGTATGTATTGAAATTTTTCTAACAATTAAGAAAATTATAACCGAACAGCACCAATTTTTCTGTCCATGTTCGATTTTTGTATAATTTAGCCTTATGTGCTTTTCGATTTTCAATTTTTTTTTCTCTACAACTGATGCTGCCGTGTGTAACCTGTTTCAATGATAAAAAAAAAAACTTTTATTGTGCTACAATACTTTTAAAATGATTACACTAGCCGTGTGTAACCTGTTTCAATGATAAAAAAAAAAAACTTTTATTGTGCTACAATACTTTTAAAATGATTACATTGAACTGCTCAAGTGATTTCCCATAGGTCTGTCTTGGATAGAAAAAAAAATGTGTGTGCTATATGTCAAAATATTACTTTACCTATATATTGCAGAGTGGTGCCATTGATATGACAAATCTTTAAAGATCTTTACTAGCGAAGACCTACATAGCATAACAACAACCTATTGTGCATATTTGTTGTTAATAGGATAGTTTAGTTCCTCTATATATACTCATCCTCCAACCTCAGGAACCCCACCAAATCATTCCAAGTTATAAACATACAAAGTGTAAGTACTTCTCTATAATGCTGACATTCTTTGATTTTTTGGGTGGTGCTCAGAACTTACTCAACTCGTACCAGCCCATTAATATAATTTAAGAGAACTCAATCAGAAAGCATTCAATTTTTACAAAATAGTGGTGTAGTTTTATTTTTCTTTACTAAGTCGGATTTAATAATATTTTCAGGCAATCATGAGGAACATTTTGTCAATTGCAAAGGTGCAACCGGATGTCAGGGGGTGGACGGTATTGATACAAGTCGTCGAACAGAGTCATATACTTGTGCATCAGAAGGACCCAACTATCTCCTACCACATGTTTCTATTTGTTGATGCGGAGGTGAGTTACTACTTAGCACCACTAATATACTTTCACTCTCCATTTAAGTAATAGAATATTACCTTCTTTGTTTATATTTATATATATATATATATATATATATATATATTGTTATGGGAACAAAACTAGGGGACAAAAGTATCGGCTATGGCGTACAACAACAACATAAGGCCCTCTTCACCGCTCCTGCTGCCGTTTAAAAGATACTATGTTTCTGGAGATACCTTGAAGAAGGTTGACGAAAAATATCAGGTTGGCGACTATGACTTCTGTTGGACCATCACTAACAACACCTTAATCCAGCCATGTGAAGAACAAATCGTGCCTCAGATGTACGACCACATTGAATTGCAACAATTTTGCAATCTACATCTTTTTGCTGATACAAATAACCTACAAAGTAAGTGGCTTTCCTAATGAATACATTATTGATTAACTGATTCTTAATTGTTTGAGATTTATATGAATATTTCATACAATTAACATTTTTTTTTCTTTGTAGATGTTCTTGGTGTTGTGGCATACGCCTTTGAAGAGAAGCAGATTGAGTTTGATTCGGTAAACAGAGACATTTGATTGTTAATGAAGAGTAAGTTTAAATTACTATTTTGTTTAAATTTGAGCTTCTAATATTAAGATAATATGGTGCAAATTAACAACATTTATTGCCTATGTAGGAATATGCCAATCATGTTAACACTGTGGAATGATTTTACCACTACCGAAGGTGCTCAACTTGCTGCTACTGTCAATGTCGACAATGTCATTCTAGCCATGCGTGTTAGGGTGACAACTTACAATGGTACCGTAATGTTTGACCATTGTGCAACAGCTTTACTAATTTATTAGACAATACCTTAATTTGTTGTTGCATGGCAGGCATTTCACTATCCACTCGGGTTCAAAGTGCTATTATGATGAACCCACCTTTGCCTAAAGTCACAACACTTAAACAATGGTAAGATGTCTACTAATTCATTATTTCATTAAATTCAGCATTGTACTAATTCAAAACCCTAAGTTTAAGTCTTATGTTGTGTCCACAAGGTACATTAACAACAAGGTTGAGATTGGAAAATTGATCTTTGCTGGAGCTTATAAGGATGTCTTGGCTTTGTTGCTCCCTCCTATGCCTGATAGGATTATCACTGTGCATATATTAATAGATCCGGAGCGCAACGTAACCTAATTATGCTAAAATCTTTCGTAAGACATACAATACTTTCTGAATTAATGTTCTGGACGAATAAATACTTTTGTTTCAATTTTGAAT